TCATTCTACTGCTATTTATAATCTTATAATTAAAGGTTAGCCTGTGCCCACGATCTATTATAAGGTGAAATAAGAACACTTAAAGAGCAAGAAAATAAGTTTTTTCGCAGTTTCAGGAATGCAAAGGTCAATGTTATTTCAAATCATTTAGTGAAGTTTTCTTTAATACGATATTCTTCCAAATCCTATTTTTTAACTTTATTCACCTCACTGATCAAGAGGAACAAAATATGAAACTTTTTGGATTGCAAGTAAAACGTAGAAATCTAGGTAAATTAAACCTGTGTATATTGAACATTTTTTTGCCAAGAAAAGACTTTCATTGTTGGTAGCTGTTCGCTACAGAGAAGGTAATTTATACAGAAGTCAGTAGAGTACGGGCGGAGGGTGTCCACTATAGACAGGTGCTCACTTGAGAGAGGTGTTCATTAAAACAGGTTCTGATGTGTATATATCTATCAATATAATAGATGGTGCATAACATCAAACCAAAGCTAATCTTTCATCCCAGCTCATGTTTTAAAACTGTTGTACCCGTACCGGTGCTAATATCTGCTGCTAAATACAATGACTATTATGCAATGAATTGACATTAAGGTAAATGATTAGGCTACATGGTAACTATCACACTTACTGGCAGTTTTATCTCTTCCTCATAATATCAGAGTATGTTTCAGGTGAAACAGAAAGATGTTATGAGTATCAGAATGATCTAGTATTATGAATACAATCATTTTAAAAAGCTCATCTGTCTGACCAAGAAATAGCTGTGTATTGAATAAAAATGTTTCATCTTTCCATAAACAAACTTGATGTCTCAACATGTCGTTTTACTTTACAATAGTGCCACTCAGTAATGATTACATCTGTAAGCAAGTAAGAAAGAATGTAATTTTACAGAAATTAGAACCGGAAAACATTGTCGTATATGGAGCTTTCAATCTCTCAGAATCCCACGATGTTCACACCAGAACATCATCAAAGTATATCAAACATTATGATAAGACCGGTTTATATCCAAAGAACATGTGTAAGTTTCTACAGAATTAATTATATGAATAAATATATTATATGAATATATATATTTTTACAAAACCTTTTTGGCATGGGGAGACGGCTATCTATCGATGAAGAGCTCGCGTAATTGTATACAAAATAAACAAAATAAAAGATGTTGTCTTCAAAAGCAAGTTAATTAAAATTGGTTAATAAATTAAAGGATGGGTATCGATATGGTGAACTTTTTGAACACACGTATCTCTTTAACCAGTCATCACAAAATTCTGAAACTTTTACACAACGTCAATTTAATGGTCATTTTTCGAATGGTAACAATATAATTTGAAATAAATATATATTCTTTTCTCTATATTGTTTTAGAAAACACATCAGACATTTCTTTTGTTCTTGGTATCATACGTTCCGAATGAAATAAAACATCTATCCGAACCTCATTGGAACAAAATGACATAAACACATCATGTGTAGGTCTCTCAATATTGTAATTGTACAAAGGAAAGTTTGGTTGATTTAAAAAAAGTCTTGTTAATGAAATAAAAGGTTTACCTTTATTTTTATCTATTTTTGGGGGTTTTGTTTTAATTTTTTGAATACTTTTTGTTAAATCAACCAAAATTTCCTTTGTATAACTATAATATTGAGAGGTCTAAGGAAATGTTGAATATGCTATTTTGTTCCAACAAGCTTCGGAAAGATACTTTATTTTATTCTCAAGAATTGGTAAAAAGGAACAAAAACAATTGCACTAAAAACAAAAAAATGTTAACAAAAACAGTTATATAAAATACATATAAATATTTTTTGCATGAAATTGTTGTCAATAAGTCAACATTTCACAAAGGTTCGTGTTTTTTGCAGAAGGTTTTCAATAATTGGTTTAAGAGAAAAACATTTTTGAATTCAGTTCACCATATCGATACCAATCCTTTATATTCATTCTATAAAATACAAGCTATATTCGATGTTTTTTTTATTTCATATAAAGGAATTATACTTTGCGTTCATCTATCACTTTAACGTTGCTTCCATGGATTAATCACTAACTTATTCTACATTCAAGATTTTACTGTATGATTGTAGTTGCAATTTGCTTCATCCTCACAATCATTATAAACAGGATCTACACGTTCGCATACTGTTAGAAACGATAAACGTATGTGAAAAATGGATTTATTTATCAATAGCTCCTTACAAATGCGTTTTTGTTGTTTTGTTTTAAAGTATAATTGATTTGATTCAGTTTAAATTTATTTACATTCGATAATGACTGGAGCGGCTCTTAATGCAAATTGAATTTCCATTCATTAATAATCGGATGAGCATTTAAAAAATAGATATTGCATTCATATAATCATCTCTAGTCCAACACAACTAACAAGCTGGTCATTAGGATGGAGAAAAAAAGATTTAATAAAAATGCCGTGGGAGCTTTGGCATTGAAAGCTATATCCCTCATCTTTCTGACTTATTGTTTCACTGCGTCAAGAGCATCCAGGACGTGGATAAAAGCCACTTGAACAATAAACGAAAGATTACTGAGTATCCATCCAGACAAACTTCTATTACAAACTGTTTCATCAGCTAACTCCGTCAAAGGAGAACATTGAAATGCGGTTAAGATCAAAGCAAGAACAACCATCGTTTGCGGCTGTGCTACACAATACGAACAAAACATATGTAACTTCCAATGAGAATCGGTATAAATCATTTAACAATGCATATCCATGTTATCTGTTAACACTAGAGTGAACAAGAAAAAAAGAGTTTATACAATTTGTAAACATTGATCATAACAGATATCGTAATTGATTTATCTAATATATATTTTAACAGCTGCTCTTTTTAAAATCTCTCTGAAATATTGTTTGTCAATATAATAATTCATTGTTACGTATGATCATATGTGCATCTATGTGCTTTTTGTCTAAAAAGACGGAGGCTTTCAACAAGATCGAGAACAGTAAAATTTGCAAAGTGGGTAGTGTTGTAGCGACGTCTCGTTACACTACCCGCACGTATAAAAGTGTGTCCCGACATCGTATTTGTTGTAATCAGTTAACATAAACACATTCATAAGATGTGTGCTTTTCAGTCCTTAAAGATGATTAAGGGTTTCAACGATATTTGCTTCAACATCACATTTGCTTAGGCGTTTTATAATGTATTTTGAACTATTTAGCAGTGTATAAATCGAGAACAGTAAAATTTACAAAGTGGGAAGTATGAAGCAACGTCTCGTTACACTACCTGCACGTATAAAAGTGTGTCCCGACATCGTATTTGTTGTAATATGTTAATATAAACAAATTTTTAAGAGCTTTTCTGTCTTAAAAGACGATTAAAGGTTCCAACAATATATTTCAACTTGTCATTTGATTGAGTCTTTTATAGTGTATTATGGCGACAATATAATTTGCCAAGTAGTTAGTGTGTAGCAACTTTTCGTTCCATTCCCCTTGAGAATGAAAAGTGTGGTCTGACATTGTATATTTGTTTTGCTATGCTGAGATAAACACCTCCACAAATGAAGTTAAAAGCTCAAAGCGGAAATGACAATTTCTGCATTTGAGACGTGAATTATACCAGAAGATGGTCAATATCTCTATCCTTTGTATATCCACGAAAAGGTCAATCGCTATCTAGAAAACTGGTACGTGAAGTGCCTTGGGTCAATACACACTTATTGTTTCTGATGTTTTATAACATATTGATGTTGACACAATACTCTACGATTCTTAAATACAAAAAGGTGCAGTCCCGTAAGGTAGAATGGCATTGATTTTTACGAGTGTAACATGATAGTTGTATTATCTCCTAGGAACATGGCTAATTGAATGATATCTGCGTCAAATGCTACCTTTATAAAGTAGAGAGTTGTGACAGTATATCCTATGCTAGGTTATGAGTAGTGATATTGTTGTTCAACAATATACCATCAATTCAACTGTATTCTCGAACAATTCCGCAGTAAGTACTTCGATAACAACGTAACTAAAGTAGAGCACAATGTCGGCGACGAAGACAATAGCGATATCAATGATTTCCAATTTCTTGAAGTTAGAGGTCAAAGGGGAAGTGGTTTGACACGAATGGAAATCTCAGAAAAGATCACGAACGAAACAAATTATTGTTATATCAACTTAAAGGCAGAATCGGATCCATCAATATCCCAAGGAAGACTCTTGACAAAAATTAATTCAAGTTTGGAATATTTTGGGATCATATCCTTCCTTGTCATGTCTATTTTCTGAAATCCCCAAACTGTATTCCGTATTTGAGGAATAATAAAGATTTTACAATAATGCGTTCATTTTTCTTTATAGCTTGATCATTCTTATTATTTGGGGGAATTAAAACATTTTCCCCCATTTTACACTTTGAATTCTTGATAACTTCACCAATTAATTACATATCGTGACTCTTTTGGGAGGTATTGTATTTGAGATTGTAAAGAAAATATTGGGAGGTCAACTATACATGTTGCTTGCAATTTTGTCACCCCTATAGATCGGATAATGCTTTTAATATGAAACTCTGTCACAGCTTGCGTTGTAAGTATTTTCTCGATGGTATATTCTGATAATTGTCTGAAAACAATGCCATTCGGATTGTATAGATAAATAATTTTATCTTATGAACGCAAAATGTCATAACCACAAGGCACCGGATACTCAAACAAAGTCAGGGAATAAAACATGTACTCAATAACCATGTGATTTAAGTAATAAAATCATAATGCTGGGTTTCCATGAAATGTTAGGACCACCATCATTCATAAATAAAATTCAAATAGATAGTCATATATTCTAAAGCCAACGAGGCATAAAGTTTGAGTATCATCGATATAGGCCTCATAAATGTGTAATAAGAACTGTATCAACATTGAAGAACGAACTGGCATTTAAGGATACATTCACACGAATCTATCATAAGACGATAATGTTTCTTTTTCATTACCTGTAAATATAAGACATACTTACGTATAGTTTCCAATTTATGAAATATTGTATTTTTAATTCCATTCTCAATGGTCCCAAACAAGAATCCAGAGTGCATCGACGGTAAAATGTTTCCTTCTAGGAGTGTCACTTAAAAATGCAGTCCAAAGCTCTCAAGCCAAGATCACTAAATTATATCATTAGAGTAATGACACCAAATACTTTTATACGGTATTAAAGATTTAGAAGCTACGTGCGATGTGAGAACTATCCTCATCAACACTTTTCTACTAATTGCTTCAAATCCGTCTATACACCGTGCTTCCCAGTCCAATTACTGCCGACTTAAACTGATATCTATTAGTTATAGTGTTGATGCTACTTCTGCCGTGTGGCTGACGGTTGCATTGTCAGTCGCCTCTCTAGGACTGTGAGATCGAATTGAGCTGTTGGAGTAATAATAAACCTATTGGTTCATTTAGATCTCTAGCCTGCATCACGTGATCAACTATAATTCCAGATCGCGTTACATGATACTATATACACCATTAGTATTTATACTTATAACTGCCGATGTTTTTTAATTACGAACCATCCTTGCGTAGTAATATGTGCTTAATTAACTGGGTTCAATTACCACGGTCGGGAGTTAATAAATGAATGACATCCGTATTGAATCAACCATCCAGTACCCATCGTAAAATACATTTTTACCAAATGAATGAAATTGTTCAGCAGTGACTGCACATATGAATAGATACGAAAGTGATAGTGAAAAACATAAGATTTTACATATTAAGACCGTTCACATTGAAATGTCCTAGCCTGTTAGGTGACAATATATCTTTTAGATTTATAACCTGTTTGTGCCATAATAGCGTATTTAAATGGACATAAAAATAATGGATTGACGCAATTGGAGATTATATTTGAAATATGTTATGAATCAAATGTCTAAGGTGCTACCATTTGACTTTGTAAATGTCGTCTTGTAATAGCAACCTATATAGTTTCATATCCTGACATAGGAGTGCCCATTCGTCATGTATGTTATTACTAGAACTACACGTCAACCCTTGTGTCAAAACCGAACCATTAATTTAATTAAATGTACATATATACTAGTTACTGTGTATGTACACGTATATCATATATTAAATATATTTAGGTACATACGATCTTTCTTAAGATACATACAAGATTATTTTATATTATCTTCGATCCATTGTCAATTATATTCCATTATAGAGTGAACCATTTAATTTAATTAAAATGCACGTCTATCTACTACTAACTGTATATGTATATTATATATTCGATATAATTTAGTTACATACGATCAATCTTAAGATACATCAAGTATATTTTTCCATCGTCAATTATATTCCATTATGGAGTGAACCATTTAATTTAATTAAAATGTAATTCTATCTACTAATTACAGGGTGTCAAATAAGTCCCATCCCCCTCCACAGCAAAAAACAACACATATGGTAACAGGTGTGATATATCATTGGAAAGGTCTTCCAAAGTTACATTGGTTGGCATATATAGTTGACACATGTCAATCAACCTCACAAAATTTTACATTGTATCAATTGAGGTGACCATAGGCCTAGAAACATGGCAATTGGGCGTATTTGGCAGGGTTTTAAGAATTGGGTATAAGAAAAGTCAAAGGACCTAAAGATGACAACATATGTATATGGCAATGGATTAAACCAATTTCTGGATAGGGTTAGATGTGTAGAAAATAGAGGTGCAAGGAAAGTGGTGAAACCTTTTTGTTACAAGTGGAATGCGAAAAAAGGTTAACTTTTTGACATATTTCTGAGGTCATATCCTTCTCATTTTGATGCAATAAAAGCTGCTTAAGGAGGGTAAACTAACTATAAAAGACATCGTGAAAATATAGGTAAATTATATCCAAAATACTCGAGGGTTGGTGAGTTAACATAACTTTGGATGATCTTTCCAATTGTATATCATACAAGGTACCATATATTAAGGTTTTGGCTGTAGCAGGGGGACGAGACTTATTTGACTTATTATATTAAATATATTTTAGTTACATACGATCTATCTTAAGATACATACAAGTAAATTTTGTATTATCTTCGATCCATCGTCAATTTTATGCCATTATACAGTGAACCATTTGATTTAATTAAAATGTACTTATATCTACTACTAACTGTATATGTATATCATATTTTCGATATACTTTAGTTACATACGATCTATCTTAAGATACATCAAGTATATTCTACATTATCTTCGATCCACAATCTTATCTGTTCGTCAGATACATACAAGATCTTCAGAAAGGAGGAACCATCTTTAGCCGACTTTATATCTAACTTATCTAAAATGTCATTTTACTGATTTCAGTCAAGTATTAATTATAAATGCCACATTGGTCTTAAGCTGGTCAGATCTGATAATCACATCATTTCCAATGCCAATTAAAATAAGCATGTTTTAATGATGGCTGTCCGATAATATCAAGGCTACTTAAATCTTTAAAAAATAAACTACTTATTGCTTGTCAAAACTGCCATCATTTAATGTAATCCAATCGATATAAGATGGTTTCATGATGTGATAAGTCTTACTTGTGTATCCTCTTTCAAACAGGGACCGTGTCTAAAAATTCTGTAAAGAGACACTGCTATCGTACCAATGTTATTTTGAGCATGTCCCAATATATGTATTGTAGCTTGGATCGTTTATTAATCAATTTAGATGTACTTATTGTTACTTACTGGCTCCGTCGAAGCTATGCTAAATTAAGTTGTGTTTTTCTTTTGTGAGATAATTTCGTGGGGGATACTTCAGTCTTCACGCACCAATAATGACCCAGTTGCCCCCCACGTGGAGTCAATGTGAAATCAATAGATCTCAAATTATTTGATAAAAACGATTTCATTTAATCAAAAAGGGAATACTTAAACACGTTAAATAATGGTTTGATATGAATACAAACTCATTCGATATTGAACCGATAACCTTGGAAAGTCTATGTACTTATATAATGTTGGAGTTCATACTTCAATAGTTGGGGATATGTTAATCATTAGCGAATTTGGTCTGGCTCGTGTTACGCATTTTAAATTATGATTATGTTTTTCTTGGAGTTTGTGGTGCCAGTGTTGTAATTATTGTGTAATTGTTAACTGTGAAAATATAACTTGACTCGCGTTTTAACAGTTAAGGGATTGCTAAATGTTAAATTGCCAACTACGTAAGTGTAACTGTAATGCCTTGGTCACATAGGCTCCGATTTTCACTACGGCGCCCGGCCGATTGAGTATTTTGTTCAAAATTGAATACAATATTGAACAAAACACTCAATCGGCCGGGCGCCGGCCGATGGATCGGAGCATATGTGACCCAGGCATAACTTGGTTCGTGTTTTGATAGTTGGGGGATTGATAACTTCTAAATATCAACTTGGCTCGTTCTTTTGATAATTGAAGGATTGATAAATATTAAAGTGTAACTTGGCTTATGTTTTGATAGTTTCGGAACTGCTCACTGTTAAAGTGTATTGTGTCTGTGTCCTTACATTACCCTTTATGACGAAATATAAACAGTTCAGAATATAGACAAGAAGTTCACACTATTAACTTTATTTCTTGATCTTACATAACATAACACTATCTTGATGGCCGGAATTGTGTCCCCATTCCATTTCTAGGCCTCATCAGTTAATTTTTTCTTTCATGACCATGCATATTCTATTAAAATGTTATATGTTACATTTACTGCCTTTGGATTCTCCCTGGAAATTGAAGCTGCATTATTTATGCGCTTAACTGGAATTAACATGTTAGACTAATAAAGATATGCATAAACCATAACTACAAAAAAAGTATTACACAACTACGCATTGCATAATAACAAGGATTAGATATTCTACAACTTATTTGCCAGGAGACTAAAGTCTCATGCATTAATGAAATGGAAATTTAAATTCTTAAGAGAAGCTCTCGGATGGGATAATCTAGCCTGTCTACGTCCATGTCGTATTTAATGACTTTTGATCAGAAGAGAAATGCGAAATCAATAGTCGTCTAATGATATGATGTAAACATTATCGAAGAAACTTTAAATCCAGTTATCAACATCCAAACAAGGGAACTTATCGAAATAATTGTGAAATGTCAGTTCCATATATTTGTAGATCCAGCCGTGATTGTTGGTGTTGCTAAGGTTAATTGCTACCAATGACATTATAAGTGAAACATTTAACTGTGGTCGTAGCAACTAGAAACCAAGTGCAAAAAAACTAAATCGAAATATACCCATTATAACTTATCTAATGTAATATTCTACCACATGTATTAAATCGTGTATTGTTTCTGAATCCAATGATCTGTTCAGTAGCTGGACGAACATTTTTGATGAGGAGAAGTGTTTCATTCTGTTGCTATAACACAGTACAATAAGTGTGGTAGTTCTCATTTTGAAGTGTTAATAGAAAATTCATTCGTATTAGTAATATTATAATGTGCATATTGGGACAAAAGACCGATTTAACCATTGTAAAACCATCAGATAGCAAAGGGAAACGCAAATTGTAACAATAACATCATGATACCCTGGGATTTGATTGTGATTTTATGTAATGCTAGATGACTTCATTATTCTATAACATGGTTGATGCTGAAGATGCATTATGTTTAACTGAGGCTCGAAAAAGTGAGGCTTGAAATGGTCGCGACAAATGCATAGACACATTCGTACACATTTTCATATTTACCTTAGGTATATTTGCCGGGAATTATCTTAGCATATGCTCCTCGACACGATCTAGCTATGAAATAATCTACGATTATGGTTCGTAGGAACTCATCGCAAGGACTACGCTCCTTATTTATAGGGCTATTATTTGAAAATCATAAGGTACTCGACACAAAATAAATGACATAGTAACATAAGTAACAACGAGTCTCGTATAATGTTGGGTCGCTATGCAGCAGCTATGTTTAATGGTGCCCCTGTACCTGCACTATCATCAAAAAAAGATAAAAAATCTTTATAACAACGTAAATTCTTTTAATTGCCAACCGGCAATTACAATTGTAGAGACAACTTGAATTCTGTAAGACAACACTGCGGAGTAGAGTAAAGGGAATAGAGTTGGGTTTAGTGGAGTTAAGTATAGTAAAGTAAAGAAAGAACAACTTAGAGAAGGATTAAAGAGGTTGTAAAGCAGGGTTAAAGTAGATTTTATTTGCGTCATGTAAAATTTATCAAGATGGTGTAAAACAACGCATTTTCATGCTGGCATGATTGTGTCAAGCCCCATTGACATCAAACTACGATCTTGACATGCCCCTCTTTGGCCAAATTCTCATTCCAATGGCATTTAG